CTTTCAAAGCAAGCAAAAAATATCATGAAGAATAATTTCAAATTTCTGTGTATTCTTCTAAAATAAAATCAGTTTTGACATTAACCCATACAACTATATCAAAGACCCTATACTGTGTGTCCAAGGTTAACCGCACCACCGGGAAACAACGTTCATGTATTTTTTGGCAAAGGAAACCTTTGATATGTATTTGAAGTTAGCGTTCAAAGGACGTTATTGCGCTTGTCTGATGTTAGAAAGAGATTGTAGTAGTACGTTGAAAGCCTCCTGGATCCTTTGGGTAAAATACATTATCGTTTCCCTATGGTGCGTTTTACCTGGGACACACTGTATATTCAAATCTGAAAGAGAAAAACCACAGCCAACTACTATCAGAATAATTATTGAAAGCTCATCACGCCTAATAATTGGAAATAGAACCAATAGTATATTTAAAATAAATGTATTGCACCTCATATTTAATAATAATAATCAAATTTGACAATCCTAGGATTGACATTTAACAAAAGGTGAAGCACTACATGTATTGGACAAATCAGACTTGCAAAAATAAATTAAAAAAACTGTATGACATGTTGCCTACATTCATCATTTTTGATAGGTTTAAAAGTCAACGATGTCAAGTGCGAATATTTGGTGGTCACTAGACCAAATTGCTATTTAGTGGTACCTAACAAAATCCGATTTTTACTATGGATTATGAAAAAGAATAATTGGTAGATCAATAAGATCGACAAGCAGGATAGGCAATTATTATGCAAATGAACTATGCTATATAAAGTGTGTGCGTATGCATACCACCTTCTAGGAGTTAAAGGAGACGTCATGTACTTACCATAGACATAATCATGTTAAGTGTAAGGTTAAGAGAACGGACTAGGTTAAGATCTCAAAAATGTGCATACAAAATTCAAGCATTCTAACTGGGGAAATTGTAATAACATACTATTATTCGCTGTTAAGTTCTCTTGAAGTTTATCTCTTTGGTCTTCTAGAACCTCTCCCAAATACAAGGCAACCTTCCGAGAGACTTGCTCAACAAACCCGTCAAGTTTACCCAAATCATCTGAGAGGCCGACCAATTGATCAAGCGTGCCGACCTACAGCAAAAAAGCTGTTTGAAAGATTGAAGAGACACATCATACTCACTTTCAAATCAGGAATGTGGAATTTGTAGTTGACGGATAACGAATTCTGCTTGCTCGTAAGGTTGTTCATCGTTTCCCATGTCTGCTGACATGTCTTGTCACCAGGTGCTGATATAAGCCAATATTCGGTCATGTTCCCGATCTGAAATGCGATAAGAGACGAGTCGATGAAATAGAGAAACGAAAGGGGACCAAGGAGAATCAGGATAGGATTTACATTTCATTGGGTTTTTTAAAATTTACCCTCAATACAGAACAGTGGCGAAATCAATGAAAAGCAAATGTTAGTCCAGAGCAATAAATTGGAAGCCCAATGCGATCAATTGTACTTCCAAGACGTACAAATATAAATATACACTTACCAATAATTTTTTTGCACCACCGGATTAATACAAAAAAATTTAAAGCACCCTTTACAACCACTCCCGACTAGACAGCTGATCACAATTTGTTTTCACGTGATTACAAATCTACTATTACAGTTTACAGCTTCCTTTACGAAAGAGAAGAGGAAAAAAGTGTATTTTAAAGAGACATCTCACATTTAGTCGTGGAGGAACTAATATTTTTTCTTCATGTTTTCTGCTAATTTGAAGGTGGGTATCTGAGGTGAATAATGTCAAATTCTTTACTGAGATGGCGTTTGTGCCGAAAATAAGCTATACAGTGTGATTGATTTTGCGCGTCCAAGCGTATATTTCTTTTATTATTGAAGATAGCAAAAAAATACTCTACATTCAATTTCAGAAAAAGGTACATATTTAAAAAAACAAGTGATATGAAAACAACAGAGCATCAGAAAACAAATTAATTTTTTTTAAATGGAACTGTTTCTTTGTTCTGTAATATCAAAGACATTGAATTCAAAGAGTATTACATATATACTCTTTGGTCGTATTCTTAAAAGAGCTTGAAATTCATTTTACAATGATATCAAATATCTTACCTTAGAAATTAAAGCTGCAGTAATGTTTTTAAAACGAATCGCAGGTACTTGTGGAAATTTAAACAAAAACATATGAGAGTTCTTCACTTATGTCATGTCTGTCACAAAATCAGTTAATGAACGTTTATAAATACAATGATATAACTTATAAGAACCACAATGCAACAATATAATAGTTACAGAAATGAAGAAAAAACGTTAGGTGTAATCATTGACTAGTGCAGTATAATGTATTGATATGTGTAATGATAATACATAGGAAGCAAGTGCAATGTATTTAAATTTATTATTCCTGTAACTGCTTTTCGTTTGTTTTCTTCGCTTCTTTATTATGTTTTTGTTTAAATTTCAACAGCAACTGCGATTGGTTCTAAACACAATACTGTAGCTTTAATGTCTAATAACATATTTGAAATCGTTGTAAAACGAATTTCAAGCTCTTTAAGAATATTACAGAAAAAAGTAACCGTTCTATTTAAAAAAAGTAATTTATTTTCTGATGATCTTTTGTTTGCAGTATAGTAATCTAGGGACACTACCATAAATAAAACAGGAGTTTATTTACTTACCGCACAATTTTTAATAAAGTGTAATATTAAGAGGATGATTATTTCCTGAAATAAAATCGGAAGCGATAAAATTTTGACGTTTTTTAACCGCGGTAAAATTTTGACGTTTGCAAATTATTTCTGAAATAGTAACCATATTGCCATAGCAAACTCTAGAAATACAAACTTAAATCCCATTGGTTATACGGTTATACGTTTAGATCGAGGAAACTGGGGCAGCCAATACTAATACAAAACTTGACAACCGTATGGCCACAGTCTTGGAACATGTACAATGCGATCAAATATGAGGTACTGTCGAGTCACCTTTGGAATTTTTGTTTACATGGGAAATCGTATTTAACTTGAACTTCCAAAGGCAACTCGACAGCAACTCATTTTTGATCGCCCGTTATATATAGATATAGCCCACGGTCGAATACACAGGTTTGGAAACTCTGTTATTTTAGATTGAGCTAAGATTCTTTTACCTATCATCAGCTTCAGTATCTTCTCAGGATTTGAGGATTAGACACCATTACGTATACCCAAAACGAGGGTAAGCCGGAGATATCTACTATGCGATCAAGAATGAGTTGCTGTCGAGTCGCCTTTGAAATTTTTGTTTTCATGGAAAATGTGGGGAACCGGAAATGGCCCTCTGGTAACTCAACAAAGCGGCGCTCGATGCAATAAATTATAGAGTTGTGCCAAAGAGTAACCATAATTACTCTTTAGTTGTGCTGTACCGATAGTCATAATCTGGTTTGATCTGAGAATAACTTTCCATATCGTAAGATAGAGGTATTAACGAAGGGAATACCGCCGTGTACGATGCGTTGCCTACCACAAGAAACTTTTGGAACGCCTAATAAATATCACAGACAACACTTGTCTGTGTAAAATATATGTACAAATCAAATGGTATTATACAGGCCCTGCTTGGGCCGGCGAGTTACCGAGTAAAACTCGGTGGGCGGTCACTCCGGTGGGCCGAATTATATTCGGGAACTCGTAAAATAAAAAAAATGAAAATTGTAACATGAATAAAACTTTTTATTTAAAATAAATGAGTAATGAATACAAAACTATTTTGATATAAAAACTGATGAATACAGAAATAACGTACCCGGTACCCATATGGTCATCAGGCCATATACAAAAAAAATGGGATTAAATTGCGACTAAACAATATTAGCGCACTGCGCAACTGCAACAGAAATGGTGTTATTTGCTGTTTTTTAGTACTAACAAAGTATAGATTACATATTTTGGCATACTCAAACCTGTATTGGGTATATAAATACCTTTTGACACTTTCATGTACTCAACTGAAATATATTTTAAATAGACTTATCGCAAGATCACTTGGAAGCTTTTTTATTTATGTCGATAGAAAAGGACATTCTTCTAGAATTAGAAAATGAAGAAATTATTGATAATGTTGCTCAAAAAAGTTCTAACCTTAAAAATTTATTATTATTTTAGTGACTTGGGAATTTTTTGTTTTGAATAAACTTTAGTTAGTTTTTACCTTGTTTTTAGTTTTTGTTTGATTTTTGAAACTTTTAATTTTTATTTGTGTTTATCATTTTATCAATTATTAATAACATGTTTAGTTTAATGCTTTTATATGGTTATTTTATCTTTTATCCAAGAAATAATCTTTGGCTTTGAATAAAAAAATTATGCAAAAATATAGACTTTAAATATTTTTGTATGAACGGATTTTTCATTGAAATACTGATGCGCAAAAAAACGCGCGACCTTGAATATTTTCAAAATTTTGGATTGCGACGCTAATGGGGAGCACTATTCTGGTCCAATTTTACTTTCTTATATCGGCCGGAGGCCGGTGGGTCGGTATTAGAAATCCGGCTCTGGTATTATTGTCTGTGCTGTGCTCAGTAGCTCAGTTCCAATTTAGCTTAGCTGTGCAGGAAAAGAAGTTTATCCAGTAATAATAAAATTGTAACTTAATTTCTAAATAAATAGTATTGAGCAATAAAAAGTTAAATACATTTTATCCATAAAGAGAGAGACATTTTTAAATTAAGCAGTTGGGGAAATTCTGTTTGTTTACTTTACTTCAGGTTGGTAGACAACGTTAATGAACGGTGAAAATTGAAATTGAGGTTGTAATTTTGTTTGTCTCACCTGTCATTTTATTGTAATAAAATAAAAGTAGAGATTTCTTAAATGACGGGGATTACAAGGAGAACTGCACTGTATAAATAATAAGTGTACATTAGTGATTTAATGTAATCGAAATTTACCAAATTCCATAGGCTCTATTACGAATTAATTACAACAATGGCTGGCATTAAAGGTAGGAATCTTCTACTCAATAATTCCCATTTATTTTCATTTATAACTGTGTAAATCCAATCTTTTAAACCATTATATAAAATTCAACAGTGATGTTCTTTTGCTTATTACTCATTATTGTCACATTGTCACATTTCTGAAATAGGTGACTCATTCGGGTGAAGTAAATCTACATAAATAAAACCCCAAATATCTTATGGAGGTATTCACATTAAGCGTGAATGCAGTTGGGCTGTTAAACTTGAGAACAGAATATCACCTATCAGAAAATTAATTTTTTAAGTATATACCATGTCGCTCGCCATGTCGATTTGCATCAGTCCTAATGTGATTCTTGAACTCGAACTGTGTATTTGATATTAATGTATACACTTCCTTTTGTTTCATGTTCAATTTGGAATATTCGCGGATATTTGTTCGTCTGTTTCTGTAGCGTAAGTATCTAGTTATTACTGCTCTCATTTATTACCTACCTTAATATTTTGATTTTAATTTAGTTTAATTATGGACATGCGAAAGGCCTTATTAGGTGTATTCAACCCTAGATTCAACCCTTGCAAGTTTTAATCTTTTGTTTAGTGAGGTTTTGAGATTCAGAGTGTGTGAAACCAATAGGGGAAGGGTCTCAGGAGGGGTTTATCTTTTTTTTAAATCATTCCAACGTGAAGTAGTTAAAAAAAATTAAAAAATTCTAAGAGTTTTGGTGTTGCACTTTCCATTATAAAAAAACTGCAATTACTTATGTATCTTTTGTTTTTTTTCTGAGCCCATATGTCCAAGAAAGCATATTTGGTAGTAATTGTAAAATAAATATTTTATCTATAATCATGCTCCTTAATCTGATCTAAATTTTAAATAAACTTACCTACTGATAACTCGACTTGTAATGCAACACCCTCGGCAGCATCTAATAATTTGATTCAATTTTCAGATTGGTTAGTTTGGCCTTTGCGGGATCTATTGGCATGACCTTAGTGATATTAGCTTGTGCCCTACCTCAATATAAGTAAGTATCTGGTACCCACTAAAATATTATTGTAAGTGTGTGAAGTAAGTACACAATGAGTCCCCTCCAAATTCCAAATCCTGTTGAGTTTCTTTTTATTTTTTTAATTTTGCGTATATTCAAGTGTACATTACTTTTGTTCTATTGTTTGTTTGTTTCTTGACATTTCTATGCCGCCTTTTTGATAGTGTATTTTAACTGCGCAAATCATTAGATCTATCTATCTGACAGATAATTTCCATGGGAACAAGTAAATATTTACATAAGAGGTTATCTGGCAGATAAGTTTAACTGAAATATAAAAGATCAATCCTAGAAGTAATTGTACAAACATCATTCATTTAGTGTTAATCAGAGCTGTCACTTTTAATAAGATTTAAATCGTTTTTATGATTTAAATACTTTTTTCGATTTAAATCATTTGATCTTAAATCTTTTTACGGAAAATGATTTTTGATTTAAGATTTAAATCTTCATGAAAACTATCTTTGATTTTGAACTTAAAAATATGATTTAAATCTTTTAAAAAGATTTAAATACTTTCGAAAAGATTTAAATCGTTTCCGAGTGATTTAAATCTTTTAGAGACGATTTAATTAATACATACCTTGATTTATTTCAACCTGACTAAGTTAATTAACCCGGGTTTTATTTCGGTAGACGTTTATATGTATTTATTACAAAATCGAGTATACTGAGATTGACGATGTCTTGGTTTTTTAAAATTTCTTTCGCAAAAAATAGGTATATATTTTAATTTAATAAATAATAACAATAAAATACTGTAGAAATGGTACGTATATTGATGAATGATGTTGAGGGTTTCATACGTGATTTAAATTAACAAAATTAGATTTAAACCTTTTTGAATGAATTAAATACCTTGAAAGTATCTTAAATACTTTCTAAAAAGATTTAAATCACAAAAAATATTTAAATCTCAAAATGATTTATTATCTAAATACTTTCTTATTGACAAAAGTATCTTTGATTTAAATCATTTGTTAAAATGAAATGCATCTTTGATCTTTGATTTAAATCGTTTTTTAAACGATTTGTGACAGCTCTGGTGTTAATGGTACATAAACTACTCCTGCTTGTCACGCGATATACATTCAGCTATGTTGTATTACATGATATGAGTGTATCCCTCTTGAAATAAGTACCTATCACCATATTCGTTATGATGTACATTTTATTTTTAGATTATGGTGGCCATTCTTTGTAGTGTTATTTTACGTACTAGCACCTATTCCAACATTAATGGCACGACGTTATACGGAACATCAAGGTTCTAGTAATGCCTGCATGGAAGCCGCCGTCTTTATAACAATGGGCCTAGTTGTCAGTTCATTTGCACTCCCAATTGTGCTTGCACGTGCGCCACACACTGATCCCACCATCGCATGGGGATCTTGTTACTTAACTCTTGCTGGAAATGTGGTTGTGTATTTAACGCTACTTGGATTCTTCGTTACATTTGACCAAGAAGATTCTGATTATAATATGTGGTAATTTTGGCATCAGTATGTATACAGATTCTGTCTTTATTTATGTTATATTTTCATGTACAAATATTAAAATATTAAATTATGTGACTTAGTGTTTTATAATGAATTGTATTTTTATTATATGTGTTTATAAACAGTGCACTCGTTTTTAATTTAGAGGTGTATTATTCTTGTCATTTATAGCAACAGATCTTTATAACCTAGCAATGGCCGTGGTCACAATAGTGTTGTAATTCATAATCTACTTTGTACAATGGCCCTTTCTCAGTGGTGTAGTGCCAAATTTAGCAGTGCCGGAGCCCTTAAAATTCAGGCAACCAAGGGTATCGAATACACCCCCCCCCTCCAAACCAAACTTGGGGTTCAGGAAAATTTAAAAAAATTTGCAGTAAAACAAATGTGTTTTGAAACAATTTCAGTTCATAAATTTTTGAATAAATTATTGCTCTAAAGGTGTAAGGCTTATGTAAGTCACAAATATCATTAGTTATCATCACTTATCTTATCTCGGTCTCCTATCCTGTGCCGGAGCGCCGCTCCCCTCTCACAAGCAGTGCTCCGGCTCCACTACACCACTGCCCTTTCTTTATTTTGCACCCGGCCATTTCGAAAATACATAATAGATATGATAAAAGCGGCCGGTGCAAAAGAAGAGGGTGTTGCCAAACATCAGGTGCATGGAGGATGAGACAAGTGATGGTGTATTTTGATGTAAAAAACAGCCAATGCTAAATAGTCTGCGATCGATATGAAAAGAGTGATCCATGCAGTTCTCTCTATGAGGTTCTAAAAGGTGTTCCAGACTTTAAAGAAGTATGCTGATGAAATCAGGAAAGCTGCTCAGGATTCTCTCGTCCCTCTGTTGTGGGGGAAAGTGAACCACCTGTTTGAAATTAGTTACTGACTTTGTAGGTTTCTTTACCTCTTTAAAATTCTAACGTTGCCAGATAATTCAATTTCAATGTGATGTGTTATCATTATCATATATATGTCATATATAATATTTATGTATCAAGGGCATAAAAGTGATGTTTATATTCTCGATGGTGACGAGCTAAAAAACTTGAGGGCCGATAGAGGTCAGTGGGTTATCCATATATTATCTTTTATATATTGTTACACTTATGAAATAAAAATACGAATAAGTTTCACTCCAATCGATTTATTACGATTTACAAAATAATCGGTCCAACTCTATCGTGGTTACAATTAAGACTAAACTGTAGTTTTACACACCCTTCCAATCCTGGCGCTACTCAGACGGGTTTTTATGCTTCCTTCTATCATAGAACATTTAGTTAAAACAAAGGGCTTCTTACATTCTAGTTTCTTAACTGCTATTTATTACCTATACTAACTATACTTATTTATACTATGCGATCAAAAATGAGTTGCTGTAGAGTTACCTTTGGAATTTTTGTTTACATTGGAAATCATATTTAACCTGAACTTCCAAAGGCGACTCGACAGCAACACATTTTTGATCGTCCGTTATGATTATTATATGCAACCATTGATTATACCAATGATTAAAGAATACCAGGAAGGAGCATTACCCAAGTTGTATACAAGAGAGAGTGAGACGGAAGTCGGCCATTTGCAAAAGCCACTAATGACTCATTTTTGTTGTGGCTTTTGCAGTGACATAAAATAATGGAGTTGTTGTGCTGGTGGTTGCTGCAAAACGGAAAAAAATAAAAGTATGGGAATTAGATTTCATGTGTAAGTATTGATACCAATATTATTTTTATATAGTACATGTAAATTTACAAATTTTTATTGGAATGTACTTTGAGGTTAATTAAACAAAAGTCATAGGCGGAGTAGATCCATGGGGGTTTAGATTGTTTTCGTGTAAAATTCTTTATAATTGTATCCTTCTACAACTGTAAGGTAGGTACGCCACTGGAACAGGAAACTACTGCCCGCCATTTGCAAAAGCCATCGCCGTCTCTCGTAAATTGTTGATTTCTCCTTCCTGGTATTCTTTATTCATTGGATTATACACACGAACAGAAGGCCTAAAGTATTTAAACAATGGCCGAGGTTAATAATTTGATTCATCCTATTACATGTTCGTGGTTCGCAGATGGCGCTGTAAATATTTTAGAAGTACCGCCCATGCAATGCAGATGGCAGCACACAACATTTTGTTACAGACTTCGAATACAAATAGCACAGATTTATAGTCTGTGCTAATAGTTATAAATTCAATGCTAATATCACATAAAGAAGGATACGCTGCCTCGCCAACTCCCGCGAGACAATATCTTTAGGCTTATGCTCGTGGTTACACCGCAAGCGTATTCGCGCGAATACGAGCGAAATAATTGGTGATGTTTAGATTCGTATTATTTGAGAGGTTCGTGCTATCAATGCGCATAGGTACTTTATAACCACGTCAACAAGTTGTAACACGTTTGTATATTCGTTCGCTTGTATTCGCGTGAGCTTCCAATTCGCGCGAATACGCTTTCACCGTAACCAGAGCCTTAGCGCAGATTGTTTTGCTAGTACGGGTCAACTTTGAAAGCTTTGAAAGTGTGACGCAAATTATTTGCAAAAATCGTATAAAAAATTCAGGAGTTTATATTGGAGAGATGTATAAGAAAGAATTTTAAATTGGTTGATAAAACGGGAGATTTCTGTTTTTAGTTCAGTTGTGTTAATGTAGGTATATAAAAAATGTGTAAGTAAAATACTTTATTTCTACAGAAGTACTAAATCACATTGGTTATTTACCTAAGTACCTACTTATTAAAGAATTGCGCGCTTAATTAACTATTAATTTAAATCTATACAATAAAAATATGAACAGCAAAAATAGGTATCTTATCAATTTTTATATTTAGCTTGGCTAACATTTAAACAAAACTTTCTGCCTTAGTGGTAGTTTTAAATGTATGATTGTTTAATTGGTGCTGGAGTAAAAGTTAATACAAAATATGTCTACAACACTTTTATCATTTGTGCATCATTTTTTCTTTTAAATCTTTATTTAAATAATGAAGGACGTAATGCAGGACGAGATCATAACAATATTTATATTCAGTCTGAAACAAAACGTGTTAATGCTGTCTACACCCGTAATCTGAAAATGTTTACTATAGCTTCCACCAACTGCGGACGATGTCTTCGAACTGTCCTGACGGCTTGAAAAATATCTACCTCTCCATGTTGTATTACTTGCTCTATGCATGCATTGGCGGCACAGTATACACCACATCGACTTCGTCCATCCCTATAAATAATACAACGTGTTATTCAAGTAAGACGTTTATTCCACGTTTGTGTATTCTTGTAGTCAATAGCCTTTTGTTTTGATAACTCGATAACTCGGAAACGATTGGATTTGTTTACTTTATACTTCTTACAAATTTTGCTTAAAATTGAGAACTGAAATATCGAATAATATACAGGATATTCCATTAAAAAAAATTTGGTGTTCTACGCGTTTATGACCAATCCTGTATAATTAAAATTATTCCTGCCATTGACGAACTCCAAAGCTTTTGTATTAAACTTCTTGTACCTATATTACCCCGGTAATCGACCGTTTCCAGACTTATCAGCGACCCTGGATATAAAAAAGAAGAGTATGTTTATAAATTGAACAAAAGTTCGTCGCTTTGTATTCGATTTGAAAAATCCTAATACCCAAACATCAGCACAATTCAATAATAGAACTATGGAATGCCGTTTTAGTAAAAAGGCATGAAATTATCAAAAAACAATTTATACAACATTCATAAAACATATTAAAAAATTGTTAAATCATATTCGAACATTTCAACAAATTGTGAGTTGTAAAATATTTAAATACAAATTTATAACATTCTTTAAATTTCTGGCATTTTTACTAAAACGGCGTTCCAAAGTATTACCTGTAAAATTATTAGAAATTGGATTTGGCTGAATATAATTGCAAACAACACAAATTGACCAACTACAAAATGTTGGTGTTTTAATTTATTGGAAAAGATAAAAACGATTGAAAATTTCATAAATATCGCAAAGCTTTAAGTTAAAAATAGGTTCAAATAAAACATATGAACATATTTTTTTAACTGTTGTAGAAAAACGTTTGGGGTGCTTTGAAATGCATACTTTTGGCACACGGATCATCAAATATAATATTACTTAAAAAAAGATCTTAACGTTTCATAGAATACAATTTTGTTTCTCAAAAATAACATCATAAATATGTTGTGTTATTTTGTTTTAGTTGTAACTTGAAAGAAATTATAGAGCGTCTGGATGTGACAATTTTGTTTAGTTCAATTAATTAACCGGGGGGTTATTAATAATTTGAGACACAGGATTGCGTAAATTTCATGTTATAGTTTTGGTTCAATTTCTTAGAAGTGTTCTGTTTTTATTTTATTCCTAGAATTTTTTTCGATGTAAATTTCTTTTTAAATTTTATTTGCCGTTAACGAGGTATAGCGCGAAGTAGAGATAAGGTTCTTCGCAGAATTGCCGGGCGTACGTGCCGTTTAGCAAGAAGTTGAAAAATCGACGCTTCGCGTGATTGGCGGACGGGATGTTGAAGAAAGGAGAAGGGCTTTTGGCTTAAATAGAAAATTTTTGAAGAGAGCGGGGCTTTTTGGTCGTTACAAAGCCAACCGGCGCTTCTTCGGTTACGTTATTTTTGAATTTTGTGGAAGTTTCTTGCGTAGTGGATCCAGGTTTAATTAGAATTTTTGTTTGCCGTTTAAGAAGAATTTTTGAAAAGTTTAAGAAGTTTGTCGCCGTTCTGTTTTTTGTTTTATTTTGCGGAAACACGGAAGTTTTGAAAATAATTGTGGGTACCCGAAGAGAGAAGACGTCGGTGTTTGAGTGTTTGGTTTGCGTGATTGTGTACGGATACCTCTTTTTATCGGAGTACGTTACTCGGACTAATTTTAAAAGTAAGTAGTAGTTAGTGGTTTGTTTTGTCTTGTTTTTTTTGTAATGTTTGAGTAATTTGTTTTTTTTTTTGTGTGTGTCATTTATTTGTTTAAAATTGTAACAATTTGTAAAACAGAAATTTACGCAATTTTTTGTTTGAAATTAAACCAGTCATTGCAATCCAGGTTTTGTTTATTAGAGTCAAGGAGAGGTAATTGTCGGCGTCTCTTACTTTGTTTCAAGTTGATTAAATCTGGGGGTAAAGTTTCATATTGGAATTTAAGGATTTGGTTAAGCCACGTATTTATGTCATTGTTGGAATGCTGTAGGGTGGCAGAATCCAGCTGGACCTTGAGATGCGGATAAAAATTTTGTTTTCATTTTAATTACAACTGAGCTAGCTAGAGGGAAATCGTGGGATTCCCAGAAGTGTAGGTTAGGTCTCACAACAATATAATCTATCATTTACATGATAATTAATACGAATATAAGGAATTCAGATTTGCAACTTAATGTTTTCAGCGCATCTAACCATAAATCCATAAGCGTTCATAATTTAAACAAGTTTTCTTAACGTACAGGGCGCTTTTAAGTATACTTAAATTTTGTTTCCCAAAAATGCTAAGTTGCATTGTGTATGTGTAGATCTGTGCTAATATCACTTGATAAGCACCTGCTTATTCAATGCTTATATGTAATTCCCTTTTTTGTTTTTTAATAAAGGACGGATATTTGTGCTGTTGGCATGTTGCTCTAACGTGACATAACATGTGAATTCCAAACTTCCTAAACGAACGAAATTGTGAGTACCTGACTGCAGCGACAAACGTACCAAGCGTTTTCTTCAAAAAATCTTCGATGCCCTTCTACCGCTACAGTTGCCTTAATTTTATACATAGCATCGCGTACCACCACTTTATAAGCCTTTAGCCGCATGTGACCGAGTTTTTTCAACCGAAAATCCGCAGCTGTAGGGCCTGTTTCGCCCAACGGGATACACCCAACTGCTTTCGAAGCATGCTTCGCGCCTCAATTTCACGCATTCGGCCACTTCTCTGAAATCTTTTCCTTAGTTCCGCACGCGAAAAACCCGCTTTGAATTCCAACCGACTGTTTTATCGTTCTGCGTCCCTAGACACGCTATGCTACTTGAGAGTTGGCTGTACCTTAGTTTTATTCCCTAACTTCTTATTTTCCGATACGAGCGTTGAAGACACGCCCCGTCGTTCGAATCTTCTTGTTGGTTATATACTAATATCTACCGTGTTTAGCTGTAATTTCGTCCTTACCTAGCTCATTTAAGAAACAGTTTTACAGCTACATCAATGCAGTTTTTGTTGACGTAATATCCTGATATGTGAACCTTACGATTATTACTGCATTTTCAGGGTACACCAACACCGAAGGAATACAATGTCACCAGTGGCCAGTAAAAAAACATTAGGAATTTGGTCATGAGTATCACGATTACAAATGTGCCGCGTTGGTTTTATGTTTACCTCCACAATTCGGGTAGTCTAGTCATGTTTTATCCTACAAGTAGGATAATACCCGCTTGACAGCAAGTGATCCGCTTTTGGCCTGAAGGAAGCGTCGCAAAATAATGACCAGTTTTACTATCGATCACATTTCGCACATACACATATACCACATTAGACTGGTGTTTTAGATCAAAAAACAGTAGTTGCCACGTTAAACTTGATGATGTTTAATGGATGTGTTGTAGATTGTATCGTACTATGATAATCGGGGTTAAAGCGCCTCCAGGAAGTCCCAGTGTTTCACTTACGTGCTGGCCGATGGTCACATAAAGTCCCCAACTCTCACAATACTTTAGTCGAGTTAATGAATATGGTGAGCGATGGAGACAACGCTAGGGATTTGGTCCAGTGGTGTAGTTTCCCCGTAAGTAATAGAAATAAGAAGAGTTCAGCAAACCAATAGTCAACATATAATTAACTAAAATATTGTTTTTCGAATTTCGCGCTTCAACATCAAGTAGACTTTTTACATCACTTGAACCAATTTTGTAAACTTTTCATCTTGAAATGGTACTTCAGAAACTTATTGCCAATCTTCAAGTGGCTGTTCCAGGTGATGATGATCTTTTAATCGCGCCATATTATTTTACAAAAGAGAAGGAGAGGACACTGTTCTATTTGGAATGCCCTTTTAGTAAAAAGTATAAAATTGTTTCACACTATAAATATTTACATTTTAAACATTTTAGTCACATTATCCTTAACATATATTCAACTAATAATTACTTCTCAAAATTATATCCAATAAAGAATATCTCGAAGTGTTCATCGAATTTAATTTTGTTTCACAAAATAATCATAAACTAAACACCTTGTGACAATTTTGAATCACAACACGGGTTAAATATTTTTACATTTTTGAAAGATATGATAACATATACTACAATATTCTAACTTAAAATAAAGAGTTGATAAAAAGGAACCTAACCAAATTTGAGTAAAAGTAGATTTAGAAATAAGACGATACGCCCAAATAAAATACTGTAAAAATGAAGTTCAGATGAATTTCTTTTTAACGATTATTAAAAAAAATTTAATGAATTGTTCGAGTGTTATAAAACCGAAAATTGTAGAGTTAATAATTTAAGAGATAAAAATTATTAGAAGTTGCGGTTTTTCATTTCAGAAATTAATGTTAAAGATATACAACAATAACGCTTAAATAGTTTTTTATTTCAGGAGATCTTAAAAGTCGTAGATTAACATTTGAGAATATAAATAATGATCTTAAAAAGTTAAAACTAATATTTTTTTAAGTTCAATATTTCAGGTTGTATAAAAATACAGTCCGATAATTTTTCAACTTGCATTTTTCTTAACGGCGTGGTAAAGTACTGACGCCATCTACCGTTACGACAAATATGAGACTTGTCATATACCACCGTTGACCGAATATACTGAACATATATTACAGATCCTTTTATTTTCAACCCTAACGGATACACATTGAGCTATACGATCAGGCTGTTTTTTTTTAATGTAAATTTTGTAACAGGCAGCCGTAATTGTTTATTTACTTCTCTTTGAATTTGGGCAAAAGAATGAAATTTATGAACGGTTGACATGGCCCGTAGAATAAAAGTAAGCAAAATGCTCTTATACTTGCAAACAATCAAGAGGTTAAATACTCATAAGTGCTCCTTCCACTGTGCGACTTAGCGCAGCTCTAAGCAGAGAAGGACGCCATTTCAGCGCTTGCTAATAGACTCGATGAAGGCAGTTATCGAGCTATTACTTTGAATTTTGCAAGTATAAGCATGTTGCTTACTATTTATTCATACGGGCCATTAACATTCTGTTTTAAACGAAGAATTGGCGGGAATTGGAAAATGGAATCTTCGGCGCTTTACAGTTCTTTTTGATCTTAACCCTACACGCATAACATATGGGTAACCAAAGCGTGTCCTTTCGATTACACGTGACCTTTACACAAATAAGTGTAGTAAACACGATAACATGTGGTAAAACAATTTTCATTTGCTCCATCATCACGCCTAATTCTTGGTTTTATTAACAAATGTTATTGTCACGTTCATTAATTTCATTCATTTTGCCAAATTTCATAAGGAGTTACAATAAAAACAAGTAACGCCTGCATTTACAAATTTAAATTTAAAAAAAAACAGCTGATCGATAGCTCAGTATCCGTTAGGGTGAAAATCCAAGAGGAATCTCTAATTTATTTCAGTTTTACGGTTCAACGTTGGTAGAAGTCTGCATATCTTCGTAAACGGCTAGATGGCGTCTGTATTACCACGCCGTTTTAGTAATAACATGCAAGTTGAAATATCGACTGTTATTTTTAAACACTCTTAAAATATTGAA